GACCTCCGCGTATATAATAATAATCTGAATTTCCAACACTGGACTTTCGATCCGGATAGAAACCGAAATCCGAATTAATAATATTTTTTTTATAGATTGGAAAAATGCATAAATTAAATGTGACGTTTCATTGTAGATCTTAAATTTAGGAATTCTAATTTCGGCCGGCACTATGAATTTTGCCCAAATTATGTTGTATGTATGATTTTTCGAAAAAATGTAAACTTTTTTTTGTCCGTAATCATCAAGATTGTTTAGTGCACAAAATGGCTTAATATCAATAAGTCAAAATAATAAACCGAATTTTAGAATTGAAACTTAAGAAATGAATAATAATCACGATTGATTGATTTTAAAAAGTCAATTTTCATTTTTGGAATTGATTTCAATCCTTTATTGAATAAAAATTTAAAAAGAAAACTAATTTCAATATTTAAAAAAAAAAAAAAAATTTTTTTTATTTTTCATTGTCCGGATTCCGGGTCAAATCCGGATATTTTTTAACCGGATATTTATCCGGATATCCGATCCGAATACGAAAATAAATATTATGTCCAAAAAATAATATGCTTTGATTAAAAAATAGTTCAAGTATTTCCAAACATAAAATGTAGTTCCGAATTCGATGATACAGCTCTAAATCTCTAATCAGATAATAAATGATCTCTTTTTGATAATAATTTACTTTTTTTATATTAGAAATTCAAAATCGAGTCGTAAAGATTTAATTTATTAATAATTCTATTTATTAAATGAAATAATATTTCATATAATGATATAAAATATATTTTCTACCAATTTAAAATGTTATCGGATAGTCTTGAAGGGAATTTCCATTAGCACATACTCCATTACTAATAAATATTTCTTTGATTGATCATTTTGACTTTCTAATTTTAAAAGAATACAAATTATTTTATTTTATACTGTTAGAACGAGTTTTGCGTACAATCAGAAAAAAAAAATGTAAATCTTTCATTTTAGATAATGCGAGCGGAAAGCTACTTCCTTTTAGGACACTGACCGAAGTTATAATAATTCTATCTCTGAAAAAAATGCGTACGAATATAGTAAAATTTTTCGGCTTGCTTTTAACTTTATTACAATTATTTCGAGGTCATATCCTGTTTACGAACAAATTTTTAACATCCATCCACACCTTTATCGGTATACCATATAAGCGAATAACATTATATTGACGTTCACGTTGAAGTTCAAGTTGCGATTGTTAACGAAATTAATATTGTATTATAATTTGTTATTCTTGGTGGCCTGATCAAGTCAAAATATCAGAAATAACGTGACCAATAACGGATATGTCTGACGTAAGCAACTGACGTGCATCTTATGATATTTTATAATAAAGTGATCACGTCACTAATTATAAAAGTGATCAATAACATACGTAAAAATGTCTAGTGCTAAAAATTAAAAAGATATAATATTTTTCCGAATTTATCCGATAAGCTTTTCCGATATGAAAATGTTCGTATTCGTGATGTTTAATTTGTTTTTAGAAAATCAAATTGATCATTTAGATTTTTTTGACGTCAGACGTTACTACTGCGGCAGGAAAGTAAAAATTGAACTGATTTTTGGTATAGGTAACGATATTATTTTCTTAGTCACGTGCTATTTTAGTCATAGCTAAAGGTTAGGTTTGTTTAACGTCATATTTTTGTTTGCTTAATTTTTGGCAGAATTTTTGAAAAGTCGTATGCTATGATTGCAATATTTAATATGAATTTTTTAAAATAAATGAGCATAACTAGCGAATTTTCATCGGTGAAAGGACATTAGAAATGTATTAAATGCGTGTAGAATACATTATATTAGTTTATTTTAATGCATGGAAAACATCGTTATACAGATGAACCAGCTGAAACAATTAATAATGTCCTTTATATTTCGTTATAGTTATATATGCCTATTCCTCTTAATGTTATTAAAATTATGAAACACTATTTGTATTACAAAATAAGAAAATAGTTTGGAAGTGATCAAATGATTTTCGTAAAAAAAAATAATAAGGCCATAATTAGATTGCTTATTTTTAGCAATTTAAGCCATATGGCGAGTTTGCTTATTGTTCTTAACAAATCCTTTGGTAGAGCTAGCTATTGTAAAAATTTTGACTTTTCTTGTTATCTATATATATACTGTATATATTTATATCTATCTATATATATATATATATTTATATTTATTCACGGTATCTTTATGTAAAACTAGGGGGCAAGGGAAGGACGAAGGATCTGCACCGCCATAGGTCACATGAAGACCTACCTACTGCGCATGTTACTTCGGAATACTCTTATGTGGCTTTTGGCATTTCCGATATTTTGCCGCAAATACGCAGATCAAAATTGCCAAGAAACAAAGTATAATACGATATATTTATGTAAAATATATAGTATATATTATATAGTAAATTAAGAATTCGGATACAATGGTATTTCGGAGCTGGCTATTTCATAATTCCGTTTAACCATATTTCATCATGATCATATGGGTGACCGGAGACCTTCGATTATCTATTTCCCGGTCCCATTTAAGAATATCCGATATTTAAATTCATTCCATTTTCCATTTTTATAATTTAATATATAATATAATCATTAACTCGGCTTCCCGGAATTTTATTTTAAAATTTAACGTTAACAGACCACTTCAAGAAATGTTGATCATTTTACACCGGATACATACCGAGAAAAATTTCTTATACCTATAATAAACATTTATAATTTTTTTACTTTCAAAACTAATTTTGTCAAATCAGAAAATTTAGAAACAAAGAAATTTGAAAATTTTTTATAAAATGTTACTAAACACAATTATATTGATAAAATATTGCATTTTTTTTTTTATAAAGAAAAAAATTCTTAATTCTTTATTGTTAAGTTCGGCGTATGTCCGATAAATGAAGATCACCAATAAATATCTCCGAAACGGCAATAAAAATATATAACTGCATTTATAATAAATATTCGGTTTTAATATAATAAAAATATTAGTCGAATATTAATATAGATATTTCTCTATCGTTAATTATAAAATTATACATGTACGTGTGACTAATATTAACGTTGATACTGATACTATGATTCATCACCCGAATTTTTCTAATTTATTTTAAAAGGCGTTATATAATATAATAAACATAATAACATTACAAATAATTAAATAACTATCAATTAGTTTCTAGTAGCCATTCGGACTATCATTTCATCATTTCCTAACGCCTCACGAAATAAATAATTCTTATTCATCAAAAAACGTTAATAATAAATAATAATTTGAAATTACGCTGCAAATATTGACCTAAGAATATTCGATGCACATTACAACCGCGAATACCATTATACCATTATCATCATCCTTAACCGCCAGAAGAAGCTTAATTCATAACTTAAAAATATTATTACTGCACGACCGTTGCAAACTTTAAAAAAAAAAAAAATAACCTACAACTTAACATACATATAAGTGAAACAAGATCGTAAAAAACTCTAATTAATGCTACACTGAAGTTAATATGTGTTACTTTCTTATCTAAGAACGTTATATTTAACTTTCAGGATCGATTATACCTTATAAAAAATTTATTTTTATTACATGCAAATTCGTATCATATTCACGAAGCTTTTACAGAATTTACGAATTTGCGAATAAAATTTTTACAGGGATGGCTGAAAAGTTTTTTGCGTATACCAAAAAAGCCTTATCCCCCCGTCTTCCAAACATGAAACATCCACGTGATATATTTTTTTTTCTAGAACTTTTTTGTTGCTAATAATATAAAATACTTTACCTTGTATGACTAATAAGAAATTTGTCATTATTTCAGATTTTATATAAGTTGCAATAGATAATATTATTTCTATAAATGCAGGGGTAAATTTACACAGGGTAATCAAACGTGATTAATGACACATTAGTGCTAATCATTACTACGGATTTCTGTATTGAGGATAGTGAAATCTACAATCTAGATCAACATTCGTATACTCTCAATATATCGAAAATTCGGGTTGCATTCTTTTTATGTCCGTTTGACGAGGTATTATAATAGAATTTATAACCCTTAAAGGCCTCATTAAAAGAAATGATTTACAATAAAAGAAATTGGAAACTAAAATGTCCTGAAATTGGATCTATATAAAATCCTACGAATCATACGATTTCTTTAAATTTTATGTCCTTAGTCTGATTATGATAAATAGAAAAACTTTTTTAAATCACCGGTCGATTCAAATAAAAATAAAATAAAATAAAAATTTACTTTGTATTTTATTTTTATAATTTATAATTTTAAATATTTAATAATGAATAGGGAAATTAAGGATCAAGTGACTTGCAGTTAATATAGACCGAAAATGATTTTCGTTCATTATTAGATATCCCTTTGATGTTTTGAACGCCGATTTTAATTTAACAATGCATGACCTTTTAAGCCACACTATTTCGGGAGATGTAGCGTGATCAACGGTTTGGATTTCTAATTTAGATCAATAAGGGTTCCTATTATGACCCGACAATTTGTATTTAACAATATTAAAGGGTTAACTCTCGGGAAAGTAACATATATATCCTTCTAGACTACAAAAGTTATTATATATATTTCTTTGTTTAATAATGCATCATTAAGTATTTTCGCTAAAAGTTATATTAAGTCGGTCCGTATATCAAAATTTGATTCGAAGAACTCTTATTCTAATATGAGAAATAAATTAATAGGTTATTTGAGGGCGTAATGAAGATTTTTTCTTTTTTTTGAACGCATTAAGGAATCAACAAAATTGATCGGAACAAGTGTAACTTACTTTATCCTTAATCGGACATTTCTATCAAATCGAATGCAAATCAAAAGAAAATCTTTCGCGTATAAGATTTTTGTTATAAAAATACCAAATTTTTTCGATGAAATCAAAGAAATCACATCACAACAATTCCTTCCTCCTTTTAAAAAAATAAAGCCTTTTATTTAAAATCATTTAAATATGCCTAAAACAATTTCAAAGAAAAAAGATTACAACCGTAATTTTATTAATCCTGATATCAATATTGATAATTCAAAAATTAATACTGAAATTGATATTAACGAAAATAATATTAGCAATATTCTCAGTTACATTAGGCCATCCTTCCCTCCAATTATAAAGATTGATGATCTTATCAAAAATGCTAAAACGAATAATAAACGAAAATCAATCCCGAACGCTTTTATCGTTTATAGAATGGCATTGATTAAGGAATATCGTATTAAAAATCGTAAATTACCTCCTATGGCCGAACTTTCTAAAATTGCTAAAAACTCATGGGATTTGGAAACTAAAGAAGTAAAGGATTATTATGAAGAATTCGTTAAAGAAGCGAAATCCATTTACAATAAAAGTAACGTGCAAATTGTGATGGATAAGCATGTGAGCGATAGCAGGAATTGTATTAAAAACGAACAAGCTTTAAATCAAACAGTATCGAATATCATGGAAGTCATGGACGACGTCATGGTTTATGAGGCAGATGATTGTATAACTTATAGTACAGAGCAAATCAATAATATCCAAGATACTATTGTTCTTCCAATTGAGGATACATTTTACATGGATAATTCATATTTTCAGATTCAGAATTTTGCTATAAATGCTGAATATTATTCTCAATTTAATAACATGGTCTTCCCTGATATCATCAGTATTGATCCGTGTCAAGATTATATTTCAATGACGGAGCAAGTAATTGATTATATGCTTGGAAATTAGATAGATTAGATTAAGCTAAAAAAATCAAAAAAAAAATAAAATTTATAAATATATTATTTATGATTAAGATTTTAAGATTTTTAAGATATTTTAAGATTTCTAAGATTTAATTATTATAATTTATGATTCATATATGCTATCATTTGATATATTTGATATGATTAACTTCGAGCGTTAAGTTTAAACAATTTTTTATGAACTTACTTTTAATTACTTTTCGGGTTGTAATTCTTTTTTATGAGGCTTTATTTTTTTTAATACGATATTATGTTTACCATTTATTGCTTGTTGTTGTCTAAAAAAAACAAAAAAAATATATATATATATATTCTAGTCTAATAATTAAAGATTTTTTCCTTTTATATAGTACATATTGCTTGTTTAATAAAAATTAATAAAAAATATCATCGAATTTTTTCCGATTTACCTTTTCACGACAACGATATTTCCGAATGAATATTTTATTTAAATGTCATTTTTTTTTTCGACACGATATTATCCTGAAGACATACACCCCAGAAGATGATATCTGTCAGGTCATTCATTTTTCGAGAAAAATGAGAATTGAATTGGTGTGGTCTTATGTCTTTTATAAAATCAAGGATTCTGATAACCCCTAGTTCTCGGAAAAAATTGCATCTAATTTAGGCCAGAATTATAAATTTTGGCCAGAATTACAAATAAAATTACAAATCACATGACATTTATATTGCTACTTATTAACTCTGGCCGAAATTATGATAAATTCTGGTCATATTTTTGATAAAGTTGTTTTCCTGTTAACGTATATTTTACTTTTTATTATAGTACAGATTTTTTTTTCAGTTAATTATATGACTAATTATAAGTAATAAATTTTATTGTTCATCCTTTTTATCTTATTTTCCATTTTCTGCAAATTTCATACTAATAATATAAGGTACTTGTTGTTTTAAAAAATATTAGTGTTCTTTCGCGCGTGTCATAATGACATATTAGTTCAATCACTTTATTAAAATTTTAAATAGATAAAGGCAATCATGTTCATTATACGTAATATACAAAACTTATCATGTTCATTATACATATAAATAGACTATACATATAAATAGACTATACATATAAATAGACAAAGAAAATCATGTTCATTATATAATTAAATATACAAAACTTCACGTTCATTATACATATAAATAGATCAAGGCAATCATGTTCATTATACATATGAATAGACAATGGTAATCATGTTCACTATTCATACACGAATTATTACGGTAAAATGATTTTTCATTAAATAATATAATATCTTCGTTGATACAGTTGATATGGTTGATATCCCTTAAATAGTAATTCATGGTCAATATCGAATAGAATCATTAAAGTTATTAAAATGAAAATAATGAAATTATCACTAAATTTGTTAAAATTATCATTATTATATCATCAATAATAAGTAACAAATTGTTGGGGAAGGGGTACGATCTTCCGGGTAAAGGATAATTTATGAGGAAATTCGCGATGTCGATTATAAAATCAGGATATAAGAAGTAACTTCATAAGACTTGTACGACAAAGTAATAATTATTTCACAGGACATTGCGCAACCATGAAAATCCACAGTTATTCAGTAAAATAACTTATTTATATCACGATTCCGACGATAAAACTTTTTAATATACTTTTTTTAAACTATTAATAATAGACTTATTATTCTAATATTGATGGACTTCTTCCAATATTGATAGGCTTTTTACCTATCTTTTTTAAAAAAAACATAATCCGTGAGAAATTGAAAATATTAGGAACCGTGGAATAAATATAAATATATCCCATTATAAAAATAATAAAAAATCTTTTATTACGAATATAAATATTTTAGTAGTTGGTTTCGGAGGATTCGAAAGAATATTTCGTGCAAATTTTGAAAAATTCTGAAAAATATTTAACATTAAAATGCTATAGAAATCGTTTTGAGAGGTACTATTTTTTTTAAATATATAAATTTTATGAATTTTTTTTTTATTCTTATATTCAAATTTTTTTTTTTCTTAATTTAAAAATTTAAATAATAACATTATTAGATTCCCTTGGAATTATTATTATTATTATTATTATTGGTAAAAATCCAGAAATGAGAAAAAGTATTTATCAGTAACGAAATATATATTTAATGAAAATTTTAATAATTTTTCATAATTTTAGGTTGGAGGATGAATCTGTTATTACGTATTCATGATAAGATTGTACATCGTGATCTTGTATCCAAATAATCGTCCAACTGTGAAACAGGTAGTTTGTAAAATTAAAGGAAATCATAGGAGTAGTAACCCAATCATCAAGTGAATTACAAATTAATTATTCACAACAATATATTATTATTTCCACAAGTTTCCTATGATCTCATTTTGTAAAACATTATCTATATTCCAGAATATGTTTTATACAAATGAGTTAAAAGGAACAATGGAATTAGATGAATCACAAGTTGATTCTTCAATCTTTATATGATGATTCTCCTGTAGATAGAGATTCTCCCCCTATAAAAAAAAATTCTGGAAAAAACTCCGATAAATGATCATTTTTCTAAGTTTTCACTCTGAAGAAACTCGGACACGTGATCATTTTTCTGAAAAATTTGTTAGTATAGGGTCCTATAAATAGAGATTCTCTTACGAATGGTAATTTTCAAGATAAGAATAACGGTGATCATAACTCTATAAAAAATTTTATCCGTTATTTTTGTAAAAACTCCGTAAAATGAGCCTTTCACGGTGACCATTCACGGAAAATGTAAATAATTCGATAAATTCCGTGATATTAAGGTTATTAATTCCGGAAATATGAGCCTTTTACGGAAAAAAAGATGGAACATAAAAAAACGGATCGACTTTTCCTATAGGATAATAATTCATTATTACATGAAGATTTATCTCTGAGAATGATACAATTTTGATATAATGAATGCGGAAGAATTAATTAAAACATTTACAAGTGACAATACCTAATGATATTTCAATACAAGTTTTATCGTTATTTTTATTTTTATTTCACAAAGTGAACAAGATTACAGTACAAATTACAAAGAAATTTAATAACTAAAATCAAAAGTAAGCTCTAACAACTGATAACCAAACCGTGGTAAAAATGAAAAAGAACGGAGATGCTTTAAGAGTACCGCCGGATGATATTTCAATACAAGATAATCCGTCATAATCAAATAAGGATCCTGATATAAAAGAATTAGCCGAACATGTAATGATAGAATCAAATGAACAGAAGTGTGAATTTAATAAGATTTACCTCAAACGAAAGAAGATGTTGATAAGTTAGGATCAAAAAAGAAAAAGAGGAAAAAAAACCTATTATAAGCATTGTAAATTTTTTTATTATTCAAATGACAAAAATGAAGAAAAAGTTTGGAATGAATAAATTATTATCACTACGTTAGTTGCTAAATAATATATTATTAGATAATACAAATTTATTACAATTCAAAAAATTTTATAATTGGCTTTTAAGTAATCAAATACTTTAAAGAATATATTTTTTTTTATTCAGGAATTGAAACAGACGAAGACAGTGAGAAAGCATTAAATTTATTGTGATTGCTTCGAAACAAAATTATACGTTAGCAAAATATCATGATAAATTGGCATTTAAATACTTTGAAACAGTAACAAATGAAGACTGTTGTAGGACAATTGAAAGTTGGTTGTTGTTATACAAAAGGAGCAGGCATCGAAAAGGATAAAAAAAATGGCTGTTCATTGGTATAACAAAGCTCATGTGAAAAGATCCATGAATATTTAGAAAATAACTACACTATTTAAGTATCTACATACATAATCCTTAAAATATATTAGAAACATAAAATTCTATTTATTAGATTCATAATTAGGGATACAAATTACTCTGCATTTTAGCAACCAATCGCATGTTTAGACATAGCCCGAGCAATAGTAAATAAATAAATAAATAGAGATTTACTATTAGCTCTACGCGTCTTTTCAGGGCCAGAATTACATAATGCCGCCTGGCATTATCAAAAAAGGAATGATCTACAAGTTTGAGACCATTCTCAAACTCTGTATTGATACCTTTTTATCAAGATGATAATTGAAATATTATCACTTCATACAATAATTTACTTATCGCTGTTTTCAGAATTGTGCTACCCTTGCAAATTACTTAATAAAATAAAATTACCAGATTACAGGACTATTACCAGACAAAAATCTGGACAATATGTCCTGTAATCATTATAATTACAACGTACATGGAATTCTGAAAACTGCAATAATAAAATGAATTACCAAGTTACAGAACGATTACTGGACAAAACCGGACAATTTGTCCTATAATCGACCTGTAATTATAATCACTCAGAATTCTGAAAACTGCAATTATTCGTGATCCATGAATCAACAGCAGAAAGTGTATGCGTCAAATGAAAGTAAAAAATTATGCGAAAAAATTATTTTAAAAATAAACTATTGGATAAATATTATGTATTAAATATTTAGCGTTGAACGGGTTCTCATAAGAACATTATATATTATTATAGTATGATTCATCATTTAACAATTCAAATATTCAACATTATTAAAGTTTCAATATTTTGCTTTCAAGTTTCATTTAAGTGATGAAAATTGGGTATCAGGAAAAAATTACCAATTATCGACATAAATTTGCACCGAAATCATGTATGAATCTTTTGCAGTTGATTCACAAATAATCGAATTAAATTATTTACGTGTAAATAATTTAACAACGGCCGAATCGTGAATCCGAATATATTCGAAACTAATGTATTCATTAATTTAAGAAAGCGTTAACAGTCTTATGTGTGTTGTGACTTACCATTCATGTCATAATTTATAATACTTAATTAATACTGACATTATTCAACATCTACGTTTATTCAACATAATTTTAATATACTTGGATTCATTTTTAATGATCAAGAAATTTAAAGGTTAATTTCGATATTCTTTGATTAATATTTTTATTGATGATCATGTGTTGTGATTTTTCCGTGGGTTGTACAAAAAATTTAATAAAAACTGGATAGTATTGATTGATAGAAAATAAGATATTTAGAAAAATACAAATTCATCCTTACTATGGTTATGGTAACAATATTAAAATAATAAGAATCCAGTTGCAACTTTATTGTCCGGAGCGAAGCGAAGGGTCTACGCATTATGAAAAATGGTCGATCACGTGAGTTTCTCTGCTCTGTCCATCATGTGACGTCATCCAATGTAATCGCAAATCTGAGTTTTATCTTTTTTTTTTCGCACCAGACTCTACAACGGTTTCCGTTTCCTAGTTTATATTGTGAAAACTGAAAAAATAATTTTATGAAAATTACGTACATTTTGTTAAAAAAAAAAATTAAAATTTGTTAAAAAATTAAAGACTTTTAGCCTGAATGGTCTTAAATGAAACTATAAATTAAAGTAAACATATTAAGTAATTTGTAAAGGTGGAACAATTCTGAACATAACGATAATTCTGTCCATAGTACCAAGTTGAAATTAGCCAGATCTGAATCCGGGTTCTATGACCTAAAACTTTTTTAAATACCGCATATTAAAAGTACTTTGTTGGCGAGATTTCTTTCATTAGTAAGAATGTATACTATTTTCATGATTTTATCATGCACGGAATTAGCCAAGCATCTAAAAGTATCGAAACTCTAATAATAATCTTATGAAAGAAAGACAATCTAAACCAAAACCGATTCCAAACTAAATTTATTTGAAGATCATTCTAACCATTTTTAAAAATGGAGCCGAGTTGGCTTAATCAAATCGGATCATCACTAAAAATGTTCTAGACTGAATTTCTTTAATAGCCAATCAAAAAATGTTTTAATTGATCGTGTTCCTACCAACATCCCGTGGACTTTTCAGCCAGAGTTATGCCATTAACTTGGCGTTACGGAGTTATAAACGTAATAAATAATGGGCGAACAAACGGATTTACGTGCTGAAAAATTCGTTCCCAGAGTACTTCGTATAAAGGGAAAAAAAGGGCGTTACACAGTTAATAAAATATTTTTATAGTGAAATTATGGGAAGATGTATAAATGTAACTTGATGCTCCTAGTATTAATCTAACTGAAGAGGAAGTGGAATGATACTGAGCGTTAATAAAAGAATATGGATTAAAAAATTTAAATTTGTAAATCGACTAGACAAATTAAATTATTAGATTCACTATTGAATATAATCGTTTAGTTAAAAGCCCCGAATACGCCACAATTTTAAAAGGCCACTTCCGTAAAAACATGTTTTATAAATCCGTATTTATATTGAACTACACATTGACATTTTTCTGTACATATTAAAATTACATTTACGTACACCAAACTTTTGAAAAATTCAGTTTCGGTATAAGGAACTTTAAATTATATAACGTACAATAATAATAAAGAAAAAAAAACTAATTATTTTTTCTCTTCTTTTTCTTACTCAATTCCGAAATTGTTAATTTTGTTGTTGCAAAGCAACTTGAATTTTTCTTTATTCGTTTATTCGCCAAAACAATATAAATTAATTTTGTATGAGTATTTTCGATATGAATTTTAGCACGTCAAATATTATTATCATCTTTTGTGCTTGAATATCTTTCTATGACATAAATTTATAAAGTTTGATTTGCATTTCTAACTAATGGATCTAATCGAGTCAACTTTACATAATCTGAAAATTTGATAAGTTCTTTCGTGTGTATTACTGCGCCAATCACATGATATTTAGTGAAATTCGATCGGAGTAATCGAACTTTTTTACCGAGCAAAGTCAATTATTTACAATCAAATCCCAAGAACTAAGCCATATGCACGAAATTTTAGTCATATTGAAAGTTATTCATTTAATTTTAACATTTTCCTTTGAATATGATCCATTCTAGTCGGTCTAAAACGCCTAATTGTAACGTTTGACGAAACGTTGCATTATTATAATTGACCGCAGTTCTATCTTGGTTTATATATTCAACAATTTTAGTTACACTCAATACTTTGAAAAAAAAAAAAATATTATTTTATGAATTCATAATCACAAGCTGGAAACTTCCTACGTATAATGAATATACGAAATTTATCATTGTGATTTACAAATTCAAAATCAAAAGAACTTCTTACGGATCATAAATGGTTTTTCTTAAAAGGAAATTAAATGAATCAAATTTAGGATAGTGGTTTCCTTTTAAATTAAATATAATGAATATAAGCAAGCGCATGTTTCAGAAGAGAGGAGTTCGGACACATCAATACAATGTACGATAAAATTCCAAGATTTATTTATTGTTTGACCTGCAACGATTGTTAACATCAGATTCTGTATTTTCTGTATCCGATTACGAATATTAACCAAATATAGTAAATTATTTTAGGAATAAAATGATAAATTACGTATGTAAATGCTTTGGATGACGAAGGTAACAATTATATAAAGTAATCACGTGAACGATGACATAAGTTGCAGAAATAGAACGATAAGAATGAAAGTTATATGCATGCAAATTCGGACAGCCATTATGCTACTTTTCGGTAGTATATGATAGAATTTTTTTCATTCCTTAATTGTCTTAATTGTCCTAATTACTTATGGTCGAAAATTAGAATTATAGTCCCTATGACACAACATCATACAGCAAAATGATTTTAATATAATCACATCTATAAACTTATCTATCCTTATATTATGGATATCGACCGATTATAAAATGGGCTTGATTTCCTACATTAGAGTTTTTTATTTTAGAAAATTTTCAAATCTTATAATTTTAATATGCCTAAAACTACATTAAAGAAACAAAAAAATTGCAAGCAATTTACACCCATTCATTATGTCGATATAAACAATTCTAAGTTAAATAACCAACCTATTATTAATGAAAATAACTCCAAAAATAATATATTCACTATTCTCAAACCAAAATTCCCACCAATCGTAACGGTAAAAGATCTAATCAAAAACAATAATACGAAAAATAAGCCAAAATTGTTTCCAAACGCTTTTATCGCATATAGAATGGCGTTAATGAAAGAATATCATAATAATAACTGTAAATTACCTCCTATGAGCGAAATATCTAAAATCGCTAAAAATTCTTGGAATATGGAACCTAAACACGTAAAGAAATCTTATGAATCACTTGTTAAGAATGCGAAATCAACTTATATGAAAAATAATATTCAAATTGTATTGGATAAACATATGAATTATACGGAAAATAATCGAGAAAATACTGTTATCTATGACACAGTTGAGAGCGTTAATAATGTCGCTAGTACTGAGAATTCTTCTCATAATAATGATTTTAATTCTCCTTGTATCAATTTTACTGACATTTCCCAAGTTAATTCCTTTACAAATTATGACACCTCATATGAAATTAGTGATCGAGAGTATATTAAAGTGTTGGAACAAATAATTGGTCGTTTACTTGGAATTTAATCGTTTCGTAGACATCGGAAAATCTGAAAGGACTTCTTTATATTCGTTTACGTACAACTTTATTTATTTTACATTTCGATTTAACTAAATATGTCGATATGATATTATTATTTCTAAATTAGGAATCCCTTATAAAACTTCTATTTTCGCATTTTCCCGACCACAAAATATTATCGTTTTACACAAACAATTAAACTTTATTCTTTTCTATGATATCATAATGTAATACTTGCATAAAGAGTTTTAAATTTAGTTTCATGTTACAAATATGCTTTTTTTTTGTCGTAGAATTTTCTATTATCTTATTTTCGTTTCTAGATACGCAGCAAAAATAATTTCAAAATTTTATGATTTTAGTTTCTTGATTTTATAATAAAATGAAAACCCCTGCATTTATGATATATATACAGTATATACAGTATATATAAATATCTTTAATTAGTATTAATTCGAAAGCATTTTTGCTTTCAAATTTTCAGTTATTAAACCAAATGCATTAATGTATTTGATACATAGAATTTGAATATAGAATTAAGTTGATCTTTAAAATTCTATTATATAAAGTAAATAGGCAAATGAGATAATTTTTTTTTTCTAAGGCTGTTATTCAATTTAATAAGTAAATCACTATATAATACCGACATACATATATGATTAGGCAAAAAAAAAAACTAGTTCCATTCGGGCAGACAGATTACTTTAATCATTTATTCATAGTTCCGCATTTGTCATAATCCAAAAAAAGAATAATCTACACGTTCTATATTGTTCCATTTCTATCGATCGCCAACGCCCATTTCTATTCTGAAATGTTAGCATTTTTTTATGAAACATCAAAAAATTTTTAATGATACGATTATTTATTAAGTTAAGTTTCGTTTTGTGAAAGTTACAACACGGCGCTTGTATTTGTGAAACAAACAAAAATATTCCCCAAAGTTATTATTATTCTGAAAATAGAATTTTTTCTTTGAAACAAAAAAACTTTTTCGTACTAATAAAATGACTCCATTGATTCATTACGTTGATTGCACGATTTCTTATTAAATTTGAAAGTTAATTAAATCACATTATGTTCATACTTTAATTTAAAGTATGTCAAAAAAAAAAAAAAAAAAAAAAAAAAAAATTAATTAATAAAATAAAAATTATCGACTTCAATTTTTTATGAACGGTCAAATTCGCGTTCAAGAAAATGCTTTTTCAAGCAAATTGGGTCGCATTTCACCGACCATTATCTCACCGCAGTAAACGTCTGTCGGTGAAATTACTTCGGTGAAATGATTGTCGGTGAAATGAGCCAGACCCTAATTTATAACACATGATATTGACAAACAAGTTTAAAGCATATGGTATTAGCAAAAAACAGTATGATTTATAATCTAAATACCGTCGCCCAGAATTTATTGCCTTTTTAGGTATTGACTAGCATTATCATTATTCCGGCCCTGGAAAATACGTGTTGATAATTAAACATTTGTTTGTTAATCGTTGCCGGCATTTAAAGTTTTGATCTCACGAAAACAACTGTTTGATATTTCTTGATCATTTCAGTACATTATGTTTTTATTTGCGTAAGAAAAATAAAGCATCTGCGTAACAGCTAATATTTATTTTCACGTGAAGAGAAGTTACGTAGACTACATTCAATAACATTTAATTATCACAGGATAAATGATAAAAAATAAAGTATATCATCACGCTTTTTTCTATTTCTTTCCTTCAATCTCTTTTACACTAGTTATTCTTCAGTTATTAATATTCTGAAATTTTTACTCTTTTACTTCCTCGGCTAGATAATCCTCGGCTAGATGATCCTCGGCTAGATAATCCTCGGCTAGATGATCCTCGGCTAGATGATCCTCGGCTAGATGATCCTCGGCTAGATGATGAAGCTGAAGTATCATAAATATTACTTGAAGGATTAAAATTTTTTGAGTTAATTTTGTGATTTGAAGTGAATTCATATTCCAAATTATCGATAAACACTTTCAATGTGTTAAAGACCTTAGAATTAAATCTGACTTCATCATGCTTGTCCCAAACATGTTCCCTCATAGATAAAAGACATTTTTGATACTGATAGAGTTGTAACTTTGGTAATTTGGCAATCATATAGGTTAAAAAGACAAATTCTACTGGAGATAGTTTATGATTACGATGGAATAATTCAGCATTAACTTTAATCATATCCTCTATGATTGTATAAACATGTTTAATCAATGCTTTGAGACTTCTAGGGACTTCACGATCTTCTTTCAAGTATTTAGCAATTGTGATGGGAGTAGCATTAAATTTTTCTGGTTTGGTTTCAATCATGTGTAAAGATTGTGCAATAAGTTGAAAAGGCCGAGCACGTTTATTATCCACTATGGAAGAAAGGGTAGAATATTTATTGTAGACTGCATGAACGAAATCACTTATTGGACTGCTAATAGCCTGAAGTTTTTCAGCAGGAGTTAATGCAACTCCCAGTTGCACACGACTGAAAATTTCTTGTTCTTGTTGCAAAGAAAGATCATAGTATTCAACTAAATAATATAAAATTATAAGGAAAAACCTTTTCAATTATGTGTGGTTACAACAATTTATCACAATTAAATCTATTTTTTTAATAACTCACCACAAAGAAGCTCAGAGCAATCAAATATTTCACGTTCTGCTTCTGTTAAAGAAGTATGATTGGGATCATCATAAAAGCGCTTAGATTTAATACCAATAGCAGGGTTAATGTGGGAGATTTTGTTGTCCATGAAACTGTAATTTATGTTAAGAAATTTATTTATAGTGTCACAGTATAATATTGTCAAAATTACATAAATACTTACTTTTTGATAGAAGTAAGACGTTGTTTACCATCAATACAAACACGAACCCATCTTCTATTATCATCCAGAATTTTGCAAGAGAAGATTACAGGTGGAATATAATAGTTGTTAAGTACAGAGTCAATTAGATGTGACTGCTTTGTTATTGGCCATACTACATCTATAATACAAATATTAAAAATATATATATGTATATAAGCAAAAATTAAGTGTTCGTTAATAATGTTGTGCTTTTTTTTTTGTGAAAGCAATAACAAAATATCTTTTAAATCATTCAGTGTTATTTACCTCTTTGAAATTCAGGGCTCAAGTCAACCACTCCCGTTTGTAACCAACCATATAACTTGTACATAGTATGTGTGACATTCCTTGGCTTTGTAAGTGCTTCATCCATTATACTAGCTTTTGTTTGAGAAAAATATGGAAGGGAGAATAATAGTCTTATTTGAAAGGATAAGTCTTTTTAGGAGAGAAAATTATTTATTTGAGAATATTTTCTGAGTGATCCAAGTATGGAGTTTTTTTAAGGGAAAAAATTAATATAAATTGCTGATGACATCATAATCAAATGATATCCTTAATAATATTTAATTTGATGGGGTGATGGGGAGTCTGAATTTTTTTTTTAAGGAAATCAATAGATGAAAAAGCTTGTTTGAAAGTCAGAGCTTTTTCAAGTTAAATCGTAACAATAAGTTTTTTTTCAATGGTGAAATTAATAAATAATTTATAAGGTAAAAAATTAATGATTAATATAGATTGATCATAAGCTTAATTACTTTTTTTAGAAAATAAATATCAATATCAACCAAATTGGCATCAAAATATTAATTGTCCGACTAAATCATGTGCGTGATTAATCATAAAAAAATTTTTTTTTTCCTCCATATCCTCCATATACAAAGTTTTTAAAATAATTTTTTGTAAATTACTATTTCTCCATGAATAAACGTTTTATTCTTATTTTTTTTCTTTCATAAATAAGAACGAATTTTTTTTTCTCCATTAGCTGTCCAAGCCATTTCTTCGTTTAACATAACGTAGGGGATCACAATCTGGGGAGGGGACAAAAACATGACCAGAATTATCATAATTTCGGCCAGAGTTATAAGTAGAAATATTGTAATTTTATTTATAATTCTGGCCAAATTTTATAATTCTGGCCTAAATATTTTCTCTCATTTTCTGAAAACTAAGGGGGTTATTAAACGAAAAATCTGAATTACCCTCTCTTTAATCTGTTGTAACATATGTGATGTTTAGTATGATCAAAAAAGTTTCCCACACATATTACTTATTATTCTATTTAGAAAAGGCATATATACACCCACAAAATCCCTACTTTCTCAAATTTTTTATTGATTTTTTTTCAACTTATTATTTATCTCCCCACCTTGTCATAATAACGTGTTAATGATATCTAGTGTATATAGAAAAGTAAAAAAAAACGCTCTTTTAATGCGAAATTTATAAGCAACACGCTCTGAATCTGAACGTTTTTTCTCGTTGAGAGCAGAATTCATCTATTGAATAAATTTATTCACATTTTTTTATGACTAAATATTAAATTTCATTTCTACATTTTCTATATCAATTATCTCCTAAATCTGAATAAGTAAAATGATTCCGTCATGGAAATCAATTAATGTTTTCTCCTTAAATCATCCAAAGATCAATCATCTTGACAAGATTTTCAAAAAGAACGAAAATAATGACATACACGCTTTTCACAATCCCACACTCGCTACATCACATGATAAAATATATAGCAAAGTAAAAACGCGTCTTTGATTTATTATTTGTAATAAAAAATTGCATATTGTCATTCATACTATAATAATAATAATAAAAAAAACAATATTACGATTCTTTAGATTCTGTAGAATTAATCCATTTTCGTGTTGTTGGTAAAAAATGTATTAAGGAATTTTGCGTATGAATCATAATTGGAAAAATAAGCTAAACATTAAACCATCTCACCCTACGTGTCTCAACATTAGGTAATGATAGTGTGGTAAGGTTAACACGTACATGTATGATCCTTTAGGTACGACATTATAAGGACCAATATTTGGTCCGATTAATTTCATTTGATCCCCTTTTTTATTAAGTTTTTACTCCCTAACTTCCCCATTATGTCGAGTCCAATTACGCCATCAAGAATCTTGACTTTCTGTAGATCTTGGATCATACGATTCGTGTTTTCTGTTGATTTCAGCAGGAACGTTGTTGGATCCATAAGCTTGATTACGATATTCACCTTTTTTATGCGATGGTTTCGGTTCTTGTTGCGAAAGGAGGATCAATGCTTGTCTTCCTGGTTTTTCGATTTGCGTTTCCGAATTTCTGTGATTACTGTTTCCATTTCCATATTCTCGTCTTCCTTTAACATGTCGTTTGGTTCCTAAAAAAAGAATTTTATAAGTTTGACTATATATAAACCAACGGAATGAGTACAAATCAATAGACTAACCAGTTGATCTTGCTTGAGAAGATCCATTTCAACTTCCAAATTCATAAGTATTTCGTCGTGTTCCTCGTATGGTCTTCCGGCCTCTACCCACTTATTGTATTCAGTCCAATTTACGGAAGCCTTGGAAATTTTAATTATTTCTTTTATGTTTTCTTCCGTAAATGGGGAAAAAGTGACCAAGGGAACTTAGACTCATGAGACCCTGACAATTTACGAGTTGTGAAGAGCGATGTGACGTAATTTTGTGGGTTTTAATCAAATTTGATGTAACAAAAATTAGTGTAAATTCAGGGATGGGGTTAATTACGGAATTTTACAATATTACTGATGTAAAATTTTTTTTCCTGCAAATTCCATGTCACTACATGTAATGCACCCCCGTTTTGTGGCGGTAGAGTCGACCATTAAGGATCGGCAACATGCATGACAGGCTCTGTAAAATTAAGTCACGTGAAATACTCTACGGATCGCACAAATATTGGTCGAAGAGTAGAGTTTGATTATAGAAGATCGAAACTTTTGGATGCTTGATCAACGAACTCCTTAATGCTTCGTATCCTTTCCGGAATAACAATTTCTGGGTGTCGGTCATACCATACCTCGAGAAGGAAGATTCCATTATCCAGACATCGATCACGATTAACAATGTCCGAATTTTTTGACGTTTTTATACCAGCTCTACTGAGCTCCTTGCACTTCCAATGCAATTCGATATTTTTGGAAGAAGGCATCAAGCTCTAATTTATTCAAGAAAGGAAGACGATATTCGATCATAGGTTCGTCATTAAGAATTTCCTTAGCTATCTGGATGCATCTAGTCTGGAATTTGCGATTTGTCTAGCATTCCAATTCCTTTTCATAATTCTTCTATAACTGAGCTTTGATCTCAACTCAATATTCTCAAGATGATCTGGCTTTTCCGAACTAAGATGCTTTAATTTTACTATATCGGCCTCAAAATCTGTGTAATATTTTTTGGTAAATTTTAAAAATTCAACTTTCAAGTTCAGTAATATGCTGTTTCAATACTTCAAGCTCGGATGGCATGATTATTAATATTTTTTTATATGATAGGATATATTCAATATTGTGTGGAAAATGTAAACGCGTTATTAATTAATACTGTACATGCGAAAAAATAAATACAAGGCTTGGGACATGACGAAGTTTCTATTTTATGACTGCGGGCTAATGTACACGATTACTCCTGTTTTCAAAATACTCTTGAACCCGTTGCCTTTCCGTTGCTGGCTCCTTTTCTATGTCCACCCTAAACCAACAATAACCTCCATTACCTGCTTCACATTCTTGCGCAACTCCCTCTCTTCTTCCGAATTCTCTTTCAAGGCAGACTCGGTAATAAGAGGATTTTTACTTGTACAGGATATTCCGTCTGAGGCAAAAAGAATGAAATACTATTCCGTGGCTGTTGTGACGATCCCATAGATATAGTCGTAATCATCCCCAAATGCTTCGTCCGACTTTCGTTTTCTTATATTTTATCTGAGCAAAACCCATAACCACTTGATGTAGCTTCCCTTCTGTAATGCAAATAAGCTCCTCGAGGGCTTTGATTGCATAATCACCTCGACCAGTACTTTCTTCGCTGACAACTTTGAGCTGAGGTGCCAAGGTAAGCTCTTTTTTGGTTATTCTTTTAACGATATATAGTGAGGCGTGATCGCGTGAAGGATGGTTGAAATATACTCGCAACGCATGGCTTCATTGCTATCAGCAAGCGTAGTCTCTATATTTCCCAGCCTGCACTTTATTTCCTTTATACATTGTATTAATTCTGCTTCGTCGTCTTAAAGTTTATAGGTCACCTAGAAAATTGAGAGGAGCAAGCGGGCCGCAAAGAGACCGCGTCTGTATATATATCCCGAGGCTATGCGTTATTTAAAACTCACTGGTGGAGACTGACAAATGGTGCTGATACCATTACTACCGATGTAACACCTCATTCAAACTGCGGTAAGTTGAGAACACATGCTTTTTTTTTCCCTACACTCCTTAGCGAACTTTACGAGCCTTTTTGCCAGCCCCAATTTCATTTCATGTTGTTCAAGCTCTTCTCGGGTCAAGTCGAGGAAGTCCTGACCATTGACCCTTTGCTTCATAGTTTTTTTTATTAAAAGAATCTGAAAGGGAAGATTATCAGCAAATGCGTCAAGAAATTGACACTATGAAGGAGCAAATACGCAAGATGAAAAGAACTCTTGCTTCTGATGTAGAAAATCGGGATGAGATAATAATATGTAAAGATAAATTCAGACGGGCATTCGATAAAGTCATAAGAGTATTCATTAAAATTAGACGGGGATTATCTCTTGTTAAAATTAGGAGAGCTTTCGATGATTTTCTTTTTTTATTATCCCTTTTTATTCTACCAAGTATAGTGTTTCATGAAAATAACGAAATACCTCCCTGGATTTCAATCTTCTCTTGGGTTACAGCTGGTGTTGTTTTCATTACGATCATAATCAATTATATTTTTGGCATATAAATTTTGAAATAATGCTCGAACCTATTTATTTTTTATTCTTCCCAGCCATAATTGATTTATGTCATATCTTTTCCGACATTGTTTCCTGTTTTATACTCGAAATATTCACTAGGGTAAAGTCACAGACACAGTCATGGGTAATATCACAGTCATGGGTAACGTCACAGACATGGACATGGCAGATATTTTCATCTGGGTGCATGCAGTAACTGGGATCTTAGGCGCGACTTTTTTTCTTGGCGTTGTAATTACTATTCTCTCTAGAGTTATATGTAATATTTTCGCTATTTTACAAATACCCTCTCATAAAATTAATGATATCAGGGACATATTGTTTTAAGTGGTTGATATACTAAATTAAATCAAATATATGTAAATTGGGCTTATAAGAAGACAAAAATATTATCAACAATGTTATAATAGACTTAGCAACAACTTATTCTGGATTTAAATTCTGAAAGAAAGAAGAAAAAAAAAATCAAATCAAATCAAATCAAATCAAATCAAAATCAGTATAATTTAAATCAATAGATATAGTATCACTTATTTTTATTTTATTTTTACTTTTATTTCTATTTTGATGATTGCATATTTATTTATTTATTTATTATTTTTATTCTTAATGTACTTTTTATTTTGATATTATTTTATTATTTAATATTAAAAACTTTTATTAAATCTATTATATTGGGGATTGAAATTGGATTGATTAATAATTGAATCTTTTGTAGCTTTAAAAATATGTTTATTCTCAATTATAAATTTTTTATTCTTAAGCGTGAGATGTTTTTCAACTTCAAACTTTTTATGCGAAATTTGCCGAGATTTATCCGTGATTGAAGTCACGTGTTGTTTTTTAAGGTTTATTACGTGACAATCGTGACATAATATTACATTACTTATAATAAACACTATTATATTATTAATAATTACACTGCTACAGCAATTGGTATTCTTCGAAGTATGTACATGATGAAGAAAACATACTTGTGTTACAGTTTAAAACTTCAAACATATTTGAATTTGTTGGTATAATGGTTTCAAAAATTGTGTATACATTATTGGTATTTTTCTATGGGAGATTTCAATCTTTTATTGTAGGAGTATATAAAATTACTTTACTCATATTCCTATCCTGAAGATTACGAAAAAATTAAAATTCGGGATTATGACAATTCGGGATTTTGACAATTCTGGATTTAGACAAGTCGGGATTTTGACAATTCGGGATTTAGAGTGTCGGGATAACGTACCTTCGAAATTTCGAGTTTCGGGATTTTGGACGGATCCCAGTTAATAAACGTAATTAATACGGAAGGCTCACAATTAGATAATTACGTTCAATAATTAGATTAAATGGCAATATTGATTAATACCATTTGAAGCAAATTATTAATTTTCATTTAGTTACTAACTCTGTAAATTGATTACGAGTTGGTAAAACCATGTATCATGACAATTTAATTTGAAATAAATATACGATTTTACTTATCATTTATTCATAGAAAAAATAAATATTAATTACGATACATTTAATTTAAGGAATTATAATGTAAATTAATCATATCTCTAAAACTAATAATTCATAATTAATGACATACTAAACTTATAATATTTTTTTAGATTAAAATTTCATTTATTTTGCTTTAGGGGGAAATTTTGGTCCATCTTTAGGACCGGGACCTTTTGGACCATCGAAATCTTTACCCTTTGGGCCTTTTGGACCATCGAAATCTTTACCCTTTGGACCTTTTGGACCATCGAAATCTTTACCCTTGGGGACTTTTGGGCCATCGAAATCTCTAACCTTTAGACCTTTTGGACCAATTTTAGGACCGGGAAATTTTGGACCATCTTTAGGACCGGGACCTTTTGGGCCATCGAAATCTTTACCCTTGGGGACTTTTGGGCCATCGAAATCTCTAACCTTTAGACCTTTTGGACCAATTTTAGGACCGGGAAATTTTGGACCATCTTTAGGACCGGGACCTTTTGGGCCATCGAAATCTTTACCCTTGGGGACTTTTGGGCCATCGAAATCTCTAACCTTTAGACCTTTTGGACCAATTTTAGGACCGGGACCTTTTGGACCATTGAAATCTTTACCCTTGGGGACTTTTGGGCCATCGAAATCTCTAACCTTTAGACCTTTTGGTCCATCTTTAGGACCTGGACCTTTTGGACCTTTACCCTTGGGGACTTTTGGGCCATCGAAATCTCTACCTTTTAGTCCTTTTGGTCCACCTTTGGGACCATCAGGAGGGGGAGGTGGAGAAATAATAACACCATTTCCTATGTTTCCAATTGGTGTAGCAACGGAACTAGCAGTGAAAAGGGCTAAATTTATAGCCAAAATTAGAGTGTAAGAGATCTTCATTTTACGAGATTTTGAGCGAAATATTTCTAAATGGTATTGGGATAATATATTTCTATTTTATTTGTTTTTTTCTTTTCAAGATATTAAGCTGACTTGAAATAAACTGAAAGGAAAAAAGCATCATATTTATATAAAAATTCATCAATATAATTTTTAATTTAAAAATAAAATAATTAAAACTCGTATGTTACCAAATCGGTAAAGTCATTTGCATAATTTGAAATTTTGAATATAAATATATAATTATTAGTGCATTCGAAATTAAGGTAAAAACCTTTCAATGATAACCAATAAATTATCTGGACATATCCTTGGCGTATGTAATGTTTTGAAGAATTTTAATTGCTTGCGAACGAATAAAAAAAAGAAAGAAAGATTTGTTTATGCATAATTACTACAATAATACCGCGTTTAGAATTGTTTTGCGTCAAAGTAAACGCGATTCCCCTTTTTTCATTTTTTCATCTCCTTATCTTTTACTTTTACATAATTCTTTCTCTTGGCTCACGTGTGTGAAAATTTGATATCAAATCTATCTATGATATGGTTACACGCACAAAAATCCAAAAGATCTGAAAATTTATTCCGAAACAAGTCGCACAACTGTGTTTTGCAGATGGCTGAATTTAACAAACAGATGATCATCGCAATTAGAGCCAAGAACGTCACCTTTAAAAAACTTTCAAAGTTTACGTTAGTATATTTAGCATTTAGCGTTAGCCTCAGCCAAGAATTTAATAGAAGTTAGAAGTTCTAGTACCGTTCGAAAACATTCACATAGAATAAAATGATAATTGATTTAGCAACTTTTTGAAACTACTCTATTTTAATTATTAGTAATCTTATTTAAATTATAATTGTATAGTATGATAAATTTTTCTAGAATTATTTTCATAATCCATAATTATTCTTTATTTTTTTTTTTAAAAAAAAAAAATAATTTTTTATTAACGTATGTTACATGTAAAGGAATCATATTTCGGTTTAATTTGAACCCGTATTCCACGAAATTCATTGCCTCATAAGAAAAACAAAAAAAAAAAAATTCCATTCGGACTAGATCGATTACATAAATACAATCTTGGATACTTTTCAATATGTAAGGGTTTACTTAAATTTGCTGATACATTCCTATTTTACAATAATTTTAATTATAAAAAAATAATGGTGAGCTATGTAAAGATAAATGAAACGATCGACACATGCTCCTGCAGATGTTAAATTCGATTGGTACAAACTTAAAAATTTTTAGCTTTTTAAAATTATTTAGCATTACGTGCATTAATCGGCTAGTTTACCGATAAGATTTTTAAAACATTCAAATTTGGAAAACAAAAATTACAAAAATAAAAAAAAAATTAAAATAGTATTATTTCATTTTTATTGTTACAGTATTATTTATATTGTTACTTGGCTCTTGGCCACTCTATCGAATAAAGTTACTAATTGCTCAATCCAAACAATCTTATGATTTTTTAACACAATGGCTTGATGGTGATGATTAGTAAATGTTTTTTGTTCGAATCCAATAATATTATAAAAAACTTATTTCTTAAATAGGATAATTTATTGTAATTAACTGAATTTGTAATTAACGGAATTTGTATTTGTAATTAAAGGAAGTTAAAAAGACAGAAAGTTATGTAAAAAGAAAATAAATATGGGTTGAGTAATAACAAGGGTATTAAAATATCATTTATTATAATTTTAAAAAATAATTAATGTTTATTAATCGTATTTTATCATCAGGCATTTAGTACAACTTGTTACTAAGTACAATAATTATTTGCTCGGCACTCGTACCCTGCATGTATTTGCAATAATAAGAATATAATCATTGATACAATAGTTATTTTATGTCGAGTAGTAACTATTAATACTTTTCATTATTATTAGTCCAAAGTATATTATATTTTATCGACTCATCAAAAAATTCGGTAACGTGAACTGTCGAATTTTATTAGCTATTATTTTGTACAACATTTAGAAAACTTTTTTTTTTTTTTTTTAAGAAAAAATAAAGCGAGGGAAATTTATCTTAAAAATACTTGTAGTTCAAAGAACGTTTATTTAAAATATTCCTTATGATCCTAAAATTTATTTATTTGTCATTTTAAAAATTTAATAATAAATCTTTATATTATTTATATAATTTAATAATTGTACGTAATAAAAAGATAGTTTTTATAGTGTATTAAACAGAGTCATTATATCAACAATTTAATGATGTGTGTTCTAATAAAATTATTTGTTGCAATATGTAATATTTAGTTTAAATGTGGCGAATTTTAAAATTTTGTTCTAAAATTGTCGGGATAATCAACTTGTCGGTATAATGATATGTCAGTTGTCAAGGATTTTGATTTGTCAAGATTTTGGACAAATGATTTTTGAGATTTCGTACCAAAACCCACTTTTATACTCCCAAGGTTACAAAAAAAATTTTTTGCAATAAATTTTATACAGTATATTTAATAATTAAAAAAAAACGCGTTTTTATTTTCACAACAAAATAAAATACAATAAAAAAAACAAGAAATAGGATAGAATAAACTATAATAAAAAAGAATTATATACATTTCAAAGCGAAATTACATACATGGAAAAAACAGGTGAAAAATAATATTCTTCTATTTTATTCGATATTTCTACTAATTTTAGATTAGTCACATTTCTGAAAATTTTTTGGTGGTGTTCTTAGAAAAAAAAACCGATACAGCATTTTGTCATTTTTCTCGAAAAAAATTTTAAGAGGTAAATTACTTTGAAAATAATTTTTTTACGATAATACAACGATAATCAGATAATTTTTTTTTTTTACGATTTATTCAAAATTTACGAAAATACAAAATTTTTAAAAATGACTTCATTATTGTAAACTATTAATGCCAATGTAATTAATGTGAATAAAATAATGGTAGAAATAACGATGTATTAACAAAAATCATTGGTGTGTAATTCGGGGCAGCTTCTTCGAAACTTTAAAAAATAAAATTATGCTAAAATTAAATTTTTGCGATAAATTTTTTTAAAAAACCAATAAATTGAAACCGCGTCGGAAAATTCTCTGGTAAAATCAAAAATTTTAGACCCTGTTCCCTCCCCTGTCTGGCCACGTGATGATGTATCACAATAAAATTTTTGCACAATATTTCGTCACCAGCATCTTTGGCGCTGACGCTATTGCTTGATTAAAAAGGTAAATTTATTATATAGTATATATAAATATTGAGGGGAGAGGGCATTTCAAAATATTTTGTTAACTATGTCAGAATTTTCCAAAATTTGAAATCATACAAGTTGAATTATTAGGTATCCCAACTTAGTTACCGGCTTACCGCCGTTGTTATTAGCGTTGGTGGAGTAGCTGGTCATCTAACTGTCTCTTAGGTTAAATAAGACGAACACTGAGAAAGAATTAGTTTACGTGACATTTTACTAAAATCTTAATTGTATCAAAATACTAAGAATTATCATTAATAATTTTTCTAAATAACTTTGTAAATTATTCATTCTTTTGTTGCAATGATGAAGGTCGTTCAATCGTTTTAATCGTTTTGGAATTAAGAAATGTTTTACTTTGCGTACGATATTGAAATGACAAATATTTCTTTCTTAGATATCCGCAAAATTTGTTGCAAAAATTCTATTACATTATTAAGGTAGTAATAAGGAAGAAAAAGTCTATTGATAAATATAATAACTCCATGTCGTATAATAATACGAATATAGTAGATATTGTACGGTGCTATATTACATATATTAGTTAATGTCACGTTAACGTTAACCAATGTAAATACCACCGTACAATATCTACAATATATTAATTATAGTACTCATTAGATTATACATATATATATATAGGTATAAAATAGTACAAAAAAAAAAACTCCACATGATTACTGAGCTGCAGATTTATTTTTTATTTTTATTTTTTGGCTAACTTACATTGGAACCCACAACGACAATTTGTTTCAAAGGACAAAAATTAACGAACAAAGAATATTCACAGTGTAAAAAAGAATTTTTTTTTAAAAAAAAATTCAATTTTATAATAATATAATAATAATAAATTTCTCAAAAAATTTAAGTATACAGTTGAATTTTAACGAAAATAATAGTACTAATCACAGCAAATGAATAAAAATATCATAACGATAGGAATATTAGGAAACGAAATACGGACGGATTTTGGAACGTTTGTCTTTATCTTTTCTATAGTGTAAAACATAAACATATATCCTACTGGGTGGATATAGCTCATGATAATTTGTTTGTATGGTATATCACTTTATCTTTATGTAAAAAAAAATTTTATTTTTAAGATGCAAAGTAATACAAATACGTGAAGTCACGTGGATAGCACGATCCAAAGTAAAAAAAAAAAAAAAATGATGTTTGATTATGATATCAAATATAATTAATTACTTTTATTACTATAATATCATAAATTTAAAAAACTAATAAAATAAGCTACAATTAAATTTACAAAAATTGTTTCTTCAACTTCAATTTCTCTAACATATAATGTAATTTTTCAATATTGAACTTTACATCATTTTTCGTATTTCCAATTTTTATAATTTCTTCAATTGAATTTTTATCTTTAACCCTTTCAATCAAATCTTTAAGATCATGATTTATATCATTACCTAAATTAATATAATTTTCTATTATTTTTTTAATATTATTATTATAAGTTAAAAGTGAATGGTTGTCATAATTCCTTTCTCTAAAAATATTACTCATCATAATATTAGATGTTTCTTCAAAATCTTTATATATAAATAGAACTTTGTTCACCTTTTCTTGTATTATACCATTCTTCAAAATTTTTAGCTGGACTAGAGTTTTGGTTCATATTCAAGTTCAGAATCCGAAAAATGAACATATAATGCTTCAAAAGTTGCTATATAATCTGCTTGATATCTTAATAATTTTGTTTACCCTTAGTTCCTGCTGTTACATATACACCACTAAATAAAAAAGTTAAATAATATAAGAGAATGTCAGGTAAGTTATGTTACTAAATTTGCAAAAAAATACTTACTTCATAAAAGCAATCAAGATATTTTGTAAAATGATTACAAGGAATATACTAGCAATTAAGGTAAATGCACCAACAGCCCAATTATCAAACTTATCTTTTTGAACCCAATTACCACTCATCCAAAAATATGTGGCTTCTATTGCTGTATAATAAGTTGAAAATGGGTTATCATCACTAGATTTAGGATCAAAATCAGGTTTAAGATTAATATAATATAAAGTCCAATTTGTTGATGGATCTTTAGCAACTCCACTATGTGTAGATTCTCTGATTTTCATTTTTTCAGTGTTTTTAGGATCTCTAAGTAGAATAAACCTATAAATATTATAAAATGAAGAAAATTAATCATAAGAAATTTGAAAAGAAATCAATAAATTAAAATAATAAAAAATATTTAAATACATTGAGTGTGCAAATGCAAGTATCACAAAAAGCATAAACCAAAAGAATGGAATTATGGCTCGGAAATTAATTTCAACACAATAAATATAAATTCCAATATCTGATATAATGGAAAGAATATAAAAATTAATAACTCATTGTGAAAAAATATCAATTAAATAAAATGCATTCTATTTACCTGAATTTAAACGGAGAAATAAAATCTAAAATTATTAAAATTGGTTAATTATCTTTATATAGAAAAAAAAAATATTCATTTATAAACAAAAACTTATAAATTTAATCCAAATTAAGAAAATTGAGAATGATATCTCTTCAACTAATTTAGAATCATTTTCTTCAATAATACGTCCAAAGCCATCAGAAAGATGAAAATCATAAAGCATTATCGTCATTATCGATACAGGAAATATAATAGAAGTTATATCAAAAATGTTAAGTATATCACCAAAATATTTTTTAAACCCATGATAACGAAACTGTTTCACTTCAATAATAAGTTGATAAATTGCCAAATAATAGAATATTATAATTAAAACTAACAAAAAATTTCCTTTACAATGTAACTACGATTCAAATATGCTGAACTAACTAATATAAAACAAATGGCAAAAATGAGAAAACGAAGGCAGAGTAAATACAAGAAAAATTTTGTTTTCCGCCAACGAAAGTCGATAACTGCTTCAATTGCTGGATTGTCATATCATCATTATTCTCATATAGTACCATCCTAGAAAAAGGACTCAACTTATTCGTTTCATTTTGTTTGATTTGGCGCCATTGTGGTATAAGTATAGAAAAAAAACGATTTAAAATCTCGGAAAAGGTATGCTTCTTTTTTTGCTTTTTAATGCTGTTTATAGTAAAGCCAGGAAAAGGAACCACTCGTAAAGCTAATGGTGATTTTTCAAAGTTTCTATATTCTTTTAATTTATTTTTTAAATCATTAAAATTGTTCCAGATCCAATTATCATTGTACCACTTAAGTTTAACAGATTCATCAGACTTCAATTTAACTATAGGTGTCAAAGCTCTAAATTTGGTGTCACTATTGTAACTTTCTATCAGAATATTTTCGTCAGGATTTTGACCCAAGAGGTGACCCTGATCTAATAACTTTCTGACAAAATCGTCTATGTTTCATGAAAAATATATATATATATATATAAATTTCACAAATTTTGGATGAAATAAAATTAGAATTAAAAAAGAAAACGAACCATAATTATATTTAAATAATAAAAGAATTGCCTTAGAAACAGTACACATCCAACCCACACAATTCGTTGGATTTCTAGAATAATATTCCAAAAGATATGCAACAATAATCGTATCTTTAAGTTCACGGCCTACAAATAAAATAATGTTATTTTGATTGTAATCAATAATATTGCATCATCAAGTTAGATTTACCTCTACAGTAATATATGGCTAGTTCCATATTATTTTCTGGCAGTTCATCTTCTCTTTTGTCAAAGTCAAGGTCATCATCTTTTAAAAACATTTTACCTGGCCATAATTTATTACTTGGTATCATACATGTCTGTAATCAATTTTATTTTTTGCAGTTTCTTCATATCCAAATAATATAAATTTTATTAAACGATCGCAATCGCTAAGTATTAAACTTTTCATAAGATTATATCGAACGTCTAGTAATTTGAAATTTTCTGGCTCATAATTAGCAAATCTCCAGATTATATGTTCGATATAGTTAATCAACCTCTCATACTTTTTAATTATAAAGAAGTGTTAATAAATATTAATAGAAGAAATGATAAACAAATAAACTTTATACTTACTTTATAATTACCTGCATCGCTTTTACTTTTATAGCGCTTTCTTATATGTACTAATGCTTTGCAAGCGTGTCTTACTGTTTGAAATTTTTCGATATCTTTTCCTTGAATCACTTTTTCCCGCCTTTTTAACTTTTCACTTAAATTTTGTTTTCTTTTCTCTTTCTCCATTTCGCTTATATTGCTGTTATCGATCTCTTTTAACTTTCTTTCTATTTCATCTATTTCTTCCTTTGTTATTTCGTGCTCTTTTTTTTTGCATCTCCTTTCTCGTTTGTATTCTCTTTATCATCTTTTTTTCATACCAATAAACCTTTAAATAAAAATCTTTAATTTTGCTATTTGATCCATCATTTGGTCTATATACAAACTTTTCAATTCTTAATCTCGTTTGTTTTTCTTCTTGCTTTACTGGAATATGATTTGACCATATATATTCAAGAAATGCTTCCCCTTTGTTAGGGTGTTCATCTTTGTTTTTACTATCATCATTTATTTGACGCCAAATTTGAACGGTTGATCTACCAACAATAAGCTGTAAAGTTTCCGTTTCTTTTCCTTTTTTATCATGATAAAGACAATAAGAAAATTGTTCATGATAAGGTGGATTTATTGCCGTTTTCAGAAATGTTGACATTAGAATGTCCAAATCGAACGCACCGAACACAGCAATTAAAATTAAAAAAAAATTCCTTTAAAAAAAACAAAATTAAAACTTTAGTAATATATTTTTAGGTAGTGTGCATTAAAAGATGTATAAAAATTATATTATTTACATATATGTATTCACTTGTATTTGCTTGTATTTGCCAATGTTCGATGTATTCGGTGTGTTCGGTACAAATTTTCATATTTCAATTTTATTCATATCTAAAAAATGACAAAAATAGTTTTTATATAAAGTTATGCATGAATACTTCAAGTTTGCATAATTTTTTATACAGTATGTGTTCACGGTGTGTTCGGTGTGTTTCGTCAACATTTCTGAAAACGATCGTCCAGCATCATGTGTCTGCGCCCTGTGCTACAGATTTTTATATAGGACTCGGAGTTTGCTATTGATTAGCTTAATTGGGCAGCTCTAATGATTGGGAAATTGAAACTAATCCAATTAGTAATTGTAATATATAATATAATAAATTTATTAAATTATAAAGATAATTTAATCGCAGCAATGAAATTCTCCACATGAGAAATCATCATTGTCTTTTTAGAAATCGTCATTGTTTTTTTTAAAAAAAAAATTTCATAAAAGACGCATCTGGTCTATACAACCAGGGGATAGCAACTCGCTGAATGATCCTAGCCGCTTAGACTTCTTACTTTCTATCTCCTTTCTACGTATCCCCTAAAGGCTTTCTGGATTTTTTGAGCATGAACAAAAAAATACACACATTTAATTTTTAGGAGTTTGCTATTTATCACCGGTGTCACGGACAGAAATTTCCTTTTGTGAACCTGAGTAACTTAATTCCGGCCAAAATTAAAAAAATCACGTGATACCGGTGATTCAATGCAATTTATTAATGAAATATATGACATTTTTTCACGTGTATCATGGGCTGATCTTTGTGTTTGTTTTTCGCATGTATTAATATTATCTTGTGTCTCTACTCCCTCCCTTGAAAACATAAGTACAGATGAGGACTTTGTCCGTGATACATGATGAAGTTACTACGTTTCTATCTCAAGCCCTATCCCTAAATTCTAATTCGACTTGGTATCAGAGATACCCTTTCCCGCAGCATTATTTAACGTAAAATAGACATTTCACTAAACCTGCATAGTAATTTTAAAGCGTGTTATTAGTGTGCTTGATAAAACAAAAAGTTAAAATAAAAATTTATGGGCCAAAAGTATTTTAGGACTCATTATGATAATTTTTATAAAGTTGTCATAGTTACCACGTTTATCTAATTATGCACAATACAGGATCTCATACTAATAAATAGTTACTGGATGAGGGAGTAGCTATATCGGTCCTGTGACCGATATAGCCCACATCCAATAAGTGTGTTATCGTTCTGACGTTTTTGGACATGCAATAAATAATAACATCATAAATAAGCTTTCTATAAATTTCATTTACGCCATTTTTTTTACTCCACTTTATTATATCAATCATGTGTTATTGCTGTGGCTAATAAAAATATCGGTCTATGAAAATTTGCATGATCCTATTGGGCTGAACGATAATATATAATTATCAATATTACTAGAATATTTTGGTTTAAAAAAAGTATTTATCAAATTATTGTGCGCTTTGGGTAATACCATGTAACAAAATACCTCATGATCGAAACGGCTGATTAAGTTTGTGATGAGGTTTTGCCTTCTTTTAATAAAACTAATAAGAATTTTCTTTCGTCTAATGACAAAAATTTTATTTATTGTTTTTTCTATCACCAAAATAAAACGCAACGGAAATATGCAATCCTAGTTTTAACCTTGTAAGTCTTATTTTAGTTGGATAACTAATTATAAATGAACAATAACAAGATTCTATAGAATGATGGTGCATTATAAATGATTATTTTACTAAATATAACCATATTTCGAAGTGGAAAATAAGAATCGCAAGCGTATTTTAACTAACTGAAATAATTATTGGAATCAGCAAAAAGTCTTAATTATTTAGTTTAGCTGTTAGCATTAATTTTACAACCACTGCATTACATCATTTACATGATCATTTTATGCATACCAGTCTTATTCAAAGAAAAAAAAATTTTTTCTTAGCATTTTTATCATTTATTTTATTTATTTATTTTATTTCTAATTAGCATTTTTATCACCAAATCAACCTGTACTATTAACTCCGCCGATTATTAATCACGTGATCGATCCGGCTTTAGATGACCCTTCTTTATCAAGTTGAAATATGGCTCAGGTGCAATTCAACGTAAGTTGTGAATGATTCCACAACTATAATAAAATGCCGTAAATGCAAATGCCGTAATGCTGTAATGCCATTATTTAATTTAATTTCATCATATCATAAATATAATAACGTAAATGGTATATAAATATATATGTTTCTTCTTTTTCTTTATTATTAAACACTTTGTAATAAAGATGCTACATAAACTATCATTGGTCATTCCAATTTTTAACAGCAATCGTTATATAATAAACCTTTATCGAAGTAAACATTTCAACTGATAACTGATAAGTCGTATGACTCGTATCTTCTTTTTGCAACTTTATACAATTAAAAACATCATCATAAACTTGAGACCTTTAAGTTTAACAAGTTTAACATTACCGTTCATATCATTCTCAGTCTTTATCTCCTATAATAATTTCTTTTGTTATTTTTCTTTTTGCTTATACAATCACACCCATTATTGATTCAGAACCAAACCGGATAATTTTACCTGATCTCCTTTTGATTCTATTACTCTCATTGTTTCATTTGGAATGACTTCTTTATGCGTACCAGTTATATTAATGTTCATTTATTACTTTTTGAATTAATTAATAAACAATTCTGCTTGGAAAACAAGTTTGATTACGGGAGCTGCGGGAGCTCAAACTGATCTGCAATAAAAGTTGATTTGTAGTACAATAGTATCACAATAACATTTATAAATAACGTTGTGTAAAAAATAATCTCATTATATACTTTCTTTCTTTCTTTCTTTCTTTCCTTTCATTAATACTATAATACAATGCTTAATAAAAGAATTAATTCAGATAATATTGACCTTTCAAATATTAATAATTTATCTCATGAATTTTTTCAAATTAATCAAAATTTTGATAAAATGAATATAAAAGAAATAGAACCTACAACAAAAAATATCAATAAAAATATTTTTGAAGAAGATTTAACTATTGTAATTGATGAATTAGTTAATCATATTTTTAAGGAAATAAATGAAGGAAAAGATAAGGATCAAACAAAGAAATATATTTTAAATTATATTGATGATAATAATATGATTTCACAAGAAATTTATAATTGGCTTTTAAATACTCAAAATGATTCAAATTCTATTTATTTACTTGGATATTTTAATTATCATGGAATTGGAACTGATATTAATGAACAAAAGGCAATTGAAATATATAAAAAAGCAATAAATTTTGGAAGTAAATTATCTTATTATGATTTAGCTAATATATATATGGAAAGTAATATTGAAAATAATTATGAAAAAGCTTTTGAATTATCTAAAAAATTAGCAGAAAAAGGATATGCAAGTGGAATACATATATTAGGTCATTGTTATAATTGGGGAATTGGGACTAATATTGATACACAAAAAGCATTTAAATTATTTCAGGAAGCAGCAAATTTAGGAAATTTAAATGGAATGGGTAACTTGGCAAATTATTATTATTTTGGAATTAAAACAAATATTGATAAACAAAAAGCATTTGAATTATATCGAAAAGCGGCAAATTTGGGACATCACGTTGCTCAATATAATCTTGCTTTGATATATGAAAATGGTGACGTGATTAATAAAGATATGGATCAAGCAATATATTGGTATAAAAAATCTGCAGAACAAGGATATAAATATGCTCAAGTCAAGTTGGAAGAATTTTCAAATGAAAATGTGGTTTAGAGTAGGAATGGGTTCATAATGTTTTTCTTTACTAATTCAAAAAATATAGGCCAAGTTATTGCAATTTTTTTTTAATCTTTAATAATTTATTTATAAATTATATTGATTTATTTGGATTTTCAATTAATTGAAATAATTCACTGTGTCTCGGGTGTCGTTTTGCGCCAGATGTTAAGTTGATGCACAAGTGGATTTTTAAATTAGTATGTTATTGAAAATCAAAACTTATGAATCAAATAAAATCATAATATTATTGTGAAACTTGTTAGCCCTTATATATATTTTTTATTTATGTTTAAATTTTCATTATATTATGTCTCCATTCTAACTCTAAATTTTATACCAGATTTTAATCACCAAACATTTAAACCAAAATAAAAAAAAAAATACTATTGTTTTTTTTTTGGAATAGAATCGTTTTATTAAAAAAAAATTTAAAATAAATTTTTTTTAAAGAAATAGTATTTGTTAAAAAAAATCGATTTTCAAACTTGTGTTACAATTAATCAAATTTTGACTAAACCAAAAGGGGTAAAAGTTCACCCTATTCCCCTTTTGTACAAAAAGGAATTTTTCTACAACATTCTTTTTTATTCCTTTCATTAAGAAATTCCAAAATAATATATTTTTATTAATAACATTATTTTTTTTAAAAAAATAAAAGATTATAAAAGGAGAAATTTTATTTCCTCTTTAAAAAATTTGTTAAGATTTTTTAATGGGAAATAAATTTCCAATTAAATAATTGTGATCTACATACGTTATTTTGGCGCAAAAAAAATAAAAAAAAAATAATTTTTTTTTTATTAACAAGTTGATATTGTTAATATTATTCATATATTTTAAAATTCCTTTCTTTCTGTCTTTTCCTTCATTATTAAATTATTTTATAATGCCTGATAAGCAAATTATTATTAATCCTTCAAAAATAAATGATTCATTATATGAATTTTCTCAAATTATTCAAAATTCCGATAAAATAAATATAAAAGAAATAGAACCTACAATCAAAAATATTAATAAAAATATTTTTGAAGGAGATTTAATTAACGTAATAGATGAATTAGTTAATCTTATTTTAAAGGAATTAAACGAAGGAAAAGATGAAGAATTAACAAAAAGAAATATTCTTAATTGTATTAATAATCATGATATAATTTCACAAGAAATTTATATTTGGCTTTTAAATAATCAAAATAATTCAAATTCTATTTATTTGCTTGGATATTTTAATTATCATGGAATTGAAATTAATATTAATAAACAAAAAGCATTTGAATTATATCAAAAAGCATCAGAATTAAAAAATAATATAGCTCAATTAAATCTTGCTATTTTATATATGGATGGACCAGATGCTTATGAATATTCTGATGAAATTTTTGAATTAGCTAAAAAATTTGAAGAAAAAGAATATGCAAGTGGAATAAATATTTTAGGTCATTGTTATAGTTGGGGAATTGGAACTAATATGGATTTAAAAAAAGCATTTGAATTATTTCAGAAAGCTGCAAATTTAGGAAATGTAATTGGAATGTGTAATTTAGGATTGTGTTATAAAGATGGACTTGGAACTGATAAAAATGGACAAAAGGCATTTGAAATTTATCAGAAAGCGGCAGAATTGGGGAATTCACGTGCAATCAATTCTTTAGCAGATTATTATAAAAATGGAATTCATACAGATATTAATAAACAAAAAGCATTTGAATTATACCAAAAAGCAGCAAATTTAGGAAATTATTTCGCTCAATATGAACTTGCTTTGATGTATGAAATTGGGGATGAAATTAAAAAAGATTTGGATAAAGCAGTTTATTGGTATAAAAAATCCGCAGAACAAGGTCACCCATATGCTCAAAATAAATTGAAAGAATGTTTAAAAAATGTGATTTAAACAAAAGGTCTATGTTATTATGTTAAATAGTATACGTTTCATTAATATTGTTTTTTTAAAAAAAAAAATTAAGCCATTCTTTATTTTATATGTAAAAAAAAAAAAATCAAAAAAATTATGAATCAAATAAGATAACACCTATTAAGATAATAGTAAACATTCTAAAATATTAATATTTAATATATATTTAAGTTTTCACTATGTTATAACTCCATTTTTAAAGATTACACTTCTAATTTTTTTTTAAGTTCTCTACCGCTAAACTTACTTTTCAAAAGAATTCTTATTTTTATAAAAATTTGATTTTTATTAAGGAATAATATATGAAAATATTATAGTATATAAGAGTTTTTTTTTTAAAAAAAAAAAAAAAAAAAAAATTTAATTTAAATCACGTTTTTTTTGTAGCTCAATTTCCTATTTAAATAAAGTGGTTTCCCTTTTAGGAAATGAAGCTCCTTTTTTGTTATTAACCGTGATCGACATCCAGTCCGCATACGGTTACATCAGTTTCATATGAACGTACATACGCACATATATATATTTGGCGCAAAATAATTTTTTTTGTTTCGTTTCACATTATTTACTTTTCTCATTATCAAATTATTTTTATAATGACGAATAAACAAATAAATTCAAATGATATTAACCTTTTAAATACAAACAATTTGTCACATGAATTTTCTCAAATTATTCAAAATTTTAATAAATTGAATATAAAAGAAATAAAACCAACAATCGAAAATATTAAGGAAAATATTTTTTTGAATAATATAATTGATGAATTAGTTGATCTTATTTTTAAGGAATTAAATAAAGGAAATGATGATGAACCAATAAAACAACATATTTTCGATTATTTTGATAATCAAAAGATAATTTTACAAGAATTTTATAATTGGCTTTTATATAATCAAGATAATTCAAATTCAATTTTCTTATTTGGTTATTTTAATTATTATGGTATTGGAACTGATTTTGATAAACAAATGGCATTAGATTTATATCAAAAAGCTGCTGAATTAGAAAATAAGGTAGCTCAATTAAATCTTGCTAATGTACATATTTATGGTTTAGGTATTGATAAAAATTATAACTTAGCTTTTAACTTATCCGAAAAATTAGCAGAAGAAGAATATGCTGGTGGAATAAATAACTTAGGTTATTGTTATAATTATGGAATTGGAACTTGTTTTAATAAACAAAGAGCATTTGAATTATTTCAGAAAGCTGCAAATTTAGGTAATTCAACTGGAATTAGTAATTTAGGTTATTGTTATGAATTTGGAATTGGAACTAATATCAATTTAACTAAAGCATTTGAATTATATCAAAAAGCTGCAAATTTAGGAAATTTATATGGAATACATAATTTAGGAAGTTGTTATGAAAAAGGAATTGTAGCTGATATTAATAAACAAAAAGCATTTGAATTATATAGAAAAGCAGCAAATTTAGGACATTATTTGATTCAATGTAATTTAGCTGTAATTTATGAAAAGGGTGATGGAATTAAAAAAGATATTGAACAAGCAATTTATTGGTACAAAAAATCTGCTGAACAAGGATATAATTATGCTCAAAATAAATTGAATGAACTTTCAAAAAATTAAATTATTTGTTTAAAGGAAATGAATGTATTTTATCGACTTTATATTTTAAATAAATAGTTTTACTTTTTGTATAATTATAAAATAACAAAAAATTTTTTAAGAACTTTTGGGTAATCAGATTTGAATTTCTAAGTGAAATTGTGCAGGTGATATTGATGAATATTATAAAAATTATACACTAATTCTGCTGAAATAACTATTAATTGCATTTCTAGAGCGTTCAATATGTATCTTTTTGTGACAGTATAAATGTTAATTATAATAAAATCTTACATGACTCTTATGTTTACCCATTTGTAAAAAAACTTCAAATTACGAATTCTAAATAATATTTCTGATTATTTCTCTTTATAATTTATCTGATATATATTGTAATTATATACTGCATGCAAAGTTGTTGAAATATATCTTTGATAGTGCCACATTAGACTATTGATTGGTAACTCTAAATTTATTCCATGTATAAGTAAGATTATTTTTCTTTAAAATTAAAGGAATTAAAAATAATTTCTTCATTTCATATTTTCTTTAACAAAATTAATCTTGACTATCAAGAGATTCTTATAATAAATTCTTATTTTTTCCAAAATTGACATGAAATGGCACTAATTTTCTAAGATCTGGCAATTATTGTGAGATGTTTAATTACTTTGATCTTCCAATACTAAGTAAAGATCATTTTTTTGTATTTTGTCAATACATGATTCTCTATCTGTATCATTTAATAAAGTTATTATATTATTCAATTAAGTAATCATGAACATAACTTTAATTAATCCCACCATTTTATTATTATACAATACAAAGAATTTAAATACTTGTAAGAGAAACCATATAATTTTATTTTATACATAGCGCATCTCTTTGAAATTCAAAGATCAAAGTCAATCATATGGTCATTCCATTTTGTAACCAGCTTATATAACATGTACATAATATTATAATATTTCTTGGTTTTTGTAAGTATTTTATTCGTATGTTGAAATGAAATTATCTCTGCTGAGTCATTTGATTTATTTGGAGAGACAAAAGACTTTAATGTACTAAAAATTAATAATGCCACTCTCTTTTAGCAAGTGCCAGTTCCTTTAAAATCCTAGATATTTTTCCATAAAAATCTGACACCAACTTGATTATTTTCTGCTGACCCCGATAAATTTTAACGTCAGGAAATTTTTTCCACTTAAAATCCATATGGAAATCCACATCGAATATTGTGGAAATATGCGGAAATCCGAATAGTTCTAACATTTCCCAAATACCCTGTGACAAAACACGTGGTATTTTCGGCGTAGATCCACAAAATTCTGCGTAGGATATATGGGAATGTATGAAATTCCACGCATGAAATTTTTTTGATATAGCTTTCTTTAAAGTCTAACATTAACATAAACTAATATATGGTGCAATAATTCCTAACACGATCCATGCTGAAACAAAAATGGAGAAAGATAGAAGGAGGAGGAGGAGATAATCCCTTATACATAAGGTATTAAGTGAAATGTTGAAAGATCCATATGACAAAAAACAATAAATTCAATATTTAACTTAAAATAATCCCTACGGACGGAGCTCAGATACCGTAGTAGAAGTGTGGAAACATATTTTTAATAACAGAATAATGGCTGGAAAAAGTCTCCATGAACGTCAAACAACTCCTCAAATAATCTAAGTAATCTCATGAGTTTGTGTAACTTATCCATGATATTCATGTCGGAAAATGCAATAAATCATTTTCCCGAACTGTATAAATTCTCACTACTAAAAGATGATCTGTATAATGGGTGACAAATAAGATATCACATAAGAATATTATTAAATTTGAAACTTTATGGTTACGCCAACTTTTTTTAGCGTCAACATCAGTGGCGTCACATCTTCGTAAATGACTTACTTGACATAAGCTTTTGACTAACTCTTGATACCCTAGACTTTTAAACTTTTATCATGAAATACTTATAATTATAGGCTTGATACACATGCGCTTGTGTGTTTACTACCATATAGATAAGAATACATAAAATATAAGAATATATAATAATTTTTGAGCTTGTTAAAGAATAAATATATTTTTATAAGTCAAAGCTCTATGAATTTTACGCCAACGATGTAACGATATGGCGCAACTTGAGATATAAAAATCGGAGATAATTTATCGCAGTATATAGGTTAAGTCATTTAATATTGAGTAAAATTGATTATATCAATTATCAAATCGTCATTATGAGTCAAAAATTTCCATATCAGGTGATCATTTTTTTTTTAAATAAGTACCCCGTCCGAAAAAAATAATTACTTAAACAAATTCTACGTTTTAATATGCAAACTACTTCCTCCAAGTCAAACAAAAAAACTAACATTAAAGACAATCCTAATGATATTCTAACTAATATCAAACCTACTTTCCCTCCAATCATAACGATAAACGATCTAATCAAACCAAAATCGCCTCCAAATTCTTTCATCGTATACAGAATGGCATTAATGAAGGAATATCGTAATAAAAATTGTAAATTACCTTCGATTTGTGAAATCTCTAAAATCGCAAAAAAATATTGGGATATGGAACCAAAGAATGTAAAAGACTATTATGCATCACTTGTTAAAGATGCAAAATCAATTTACAATAAATTTTCTTTGGATAAATTTTCTTTGGATAATTATATGGAATATATTCAAAATCAAAAATGTGATATAACATATGATGCAGTTGAGAATATTAATGAAAATCTTCATATTCTCACCAGTGATCAAATTAATAATGATGTTAGTTTTTCTACAACTACTAATACTTTTCTAGTTCATTCCTTTCCAAATTATGACAATTACGAATTGAATTCAACGCCTAATGATCAAGAGTACATTAGGATATTGGAACAAATAATTGATCGTTATTTACTTTAGAAATTAGTAATCGTTTCATATTGGCAAATCTGAAATAATTGACACTAATTCTTTTCATATAAAAAATTAGAAAGAATATTTATACTAAAGTATTTTATAATTCTAAAAATATATGTACGCAGTGTATTCAAATATTAAAATTTCTACCCTTTTTACTTGAAAATTATTACTAGAAAGAATATAACCTTTTTTATCAACATTTTTCGTATCAACACTAGAGATGCGATTAGATAATCCATCACGGATTGAAAACACAAATTTATTCGTCATCTGTATCCGCACATCCGAAGTTAATCATAGTGTTGGCGGTAATGCCGGCCGGCATTGAAAATTACGTGACTCTTCATTTGAGACTGTAAATATAAAAAATGTCTCAGGTTATTCACTAGTGAATTTTCAATATCAGATATGCAGGAATACATACCAATCTGCAAGATCACATGAATTTAATTTTGGTTGATCGTCATACCCCAGGAAAAATTCTTCGATTACATGACAATTTTACCGATCATTTCAATTTAAATTATTTTTTTTCCGTAAGGTAGTTTTGATCGTCATAAGCTATCACGTGAATATCATAGTTTGGTGCACAATATGTAATAAGGGGAAATTAAAAATCCCGTCAACCCGAAATTCATCGTACAATATACAGTGTGACAAAAAAACCGGAATTGGCTAGCCGGGCCATAAAATTTTAAAAATGACCGGGCCGGCCGGCATTTTTTTTATATATGTAAAATTTTTTTACGCACATTGGCCAAAAGCTTAAAATCACGTGATAAAAATTTTTTACTATAAAAAAATTTCCATTTTTCGAAAAACTGACCCGGTCGGGTCACGAGAATCTATATTTTTTTTGCCCGGCCTACGTTCTCACCATATTATTTGTAAAATAGCAGGTGGAAACCCGTCAATAATAATTTAATATGGAATTTATTTTAGTAATTTTTCTATAATTAAGCTTATTAAAAATTTATTATAACTATTTTAGAGCAAATTTATATTTTTTTTGCAATAAAATACTTTATATTGTTAAAGAATTTTTTTTAATCATATTTTTCACATTTATCTTGATAAAATTGAGAAATTTCTAGTGAATTTTGCATCTATTTTTAATTTATGAATTTCATTTCAAATTTTTCTTTAAAATCAACATTTGTGGTTAAGTTTCTTAAAAAGTAAAAAAGCCACTAGAGTTCTAAATATTCTTAACAATATTTGAGTATTTTAAATTAAATCTAATCCACCAATGTTTTATAAATGTAATTTAATTTTCTGTAAATAATTATTGCTAATTTTTCAAAGGATAATAAAGTGTTTATAACTTCAAAAGATTTCAAAATGTAGCCTTGAATCTCAAGTCTACTATACAAAGTAAATTGAGTTTATTTTGAGCGTATAACATGCATTTATCACGTGAATAATTTTCCGGTTTTTTTTTTTGCAACGCACTGTATATGGATTTCTGATTTGGAAAGAAAAGGTTATAATGTTCGCTAAACTGACACTAAGAAAAACTAACTTATTATGAGTAGAATTCTCAGCACTAACGGCGAAAACATAGTTCATATTTTTTTCCAACTTTTAAATATCCTTAACATGTGATGCACGAAAATTTGGCAATAATTTTAGCAATTTTAAAGAATTCTTCATAACATTCCTTATTTACGCCATCGAACTTAGATTATTAGTATTTAAATTGGATGCGTACACGAATTTTGTTATAAAAAAATTTGGCATCTCAAAGTAGGATCCCGAATCATATATAGGTAAGATGCAGCCAAAAGAAATTTATTATTATCAGCTATCTGTTATTTTTTTCATGACCTGAATTACGATATAATGCCAGTTGATGTTTAAAAAAGGCAATAAATTCTGGCCGACGTTATCTATAATAGAAAAGATCTACCTTAATTAGTCATTTTATGCATAGCCGGTATGCTTCAAATTTAAGTAATGGTGCACAAAATAATTGTTTGTTTACATATTGACGTATGGTACTATTATTTCTTTTATTTACTACTTAATTTAGCAGTTACATAAGCGCAATATAATAATAATTGTACATGCATGTAACAAACGAAAACATAATAATATCTTATAAAAAAATTTCTTAGACAATTAAATGATTTTTTTCCATAATTGAGTTCTCTACCGTTCGACTACTATTAACCTACCGTGATAAAAGGTAATTATTTGTGGGAATTTGCCAAAAGAAATTATGCAAACCACGTAACTTAGATATTTATAATGATAATATATCTTAAAAAAATTTTGAATATTTATATGTAAAATCTTGGAATCATAATAAATGCATACATGTACTTAAACGAATATAACATAAAATTTTTAATTCTACGAAAATAAATTGCGATGTTGTTTTCAAATTTGCCAGCGTAAATTAATTTCCAAGTAAACGGTCAATTGTTTGTTCCAAATATCTAATGTATTCTCGGTCACTAAGTATTGAATTCGCATTATACGAGGTTCTAAAATTTTGAGAAGAATTAACTAAGGTGATGTCAGAGGACATGTCATTACTGCTGGCGTTAGGAAAACTAAAATTAGTGTCAATATGCTGAACTTCAACATATTCCTCTTCTCTTCCTACGTCAAAATTTACATTTCTCTCTTGATTAATTACCACATTGCTCACATGTTTATCCAATATGATTTGTACATTATTTTTATTATAAATTAATTTCGCCTCATTAACTAGTGATTCATAAAACTCTTTTACGTATTTGGGTTCCATATTCCAATGATTTTTAGCGATTTTGGAAACTTTACCCACAGAAGGTGTTTTACAATTTTTAATACGATATTCTTTCATTAACGCCATTCTATACGCGATAAAAGCGTTAGGAAACACTTTTGGCTTGTTATTTGTATTGACTTTTTTGATTAGGTCGCTAATCGTTAAAGTCGAAGGAAATGATGGTTTGATATCGTTGAGAGATTCAACATTGATTGAAGTTTCACGTTTGCGATTTTTTTGTTTTAAGAAAGTCTTGGGCATATTGTAGATTTAAATTTGCTTAAAAAATTTCTTATAGACTTAAAATTTTAAATCGACTAAAACCGTGCTTTTTATAAAAAAATAAATCATAGGAACTAGACACGATAATCATTAATAAGGAGAAAATAACTATCTTTATTTTACTATTGCTGATTGTCAACTTTTATAAAAAGAAAGAAATGAAACATTTAAGTAGTAGGATATGTAGAAAATAACTACTTTTTTCTTACTAATGCTGATTGTTATAGCTGGTTGTATTTTTTACAGCAGAAGACAATTAGGAACTAAAATAATTTGATATTTCTTGATCAACTAAACTGTGCTTTCTATAGGAAGGAATGAATCATTTAAGTTAAATAGTAGGAATACTGCACAATAAGGAGAAAATGTTTTACTAACGTTGATTGTTATAGCTGATTGCATTTTTTACAAACGACAATTAAAAACTAAATAATTTAGGAAAATATGAATCATCTAAGCAGTAGAAATTCAGCACGTTAGCTATTTTGTTTATCGATGCTGATTGTTATAGCTGGTTGCATTTTTACAGCCGACAATTAAAAATTAAAAACATTCATAATATTATAGAAGTTTGCAGAATTCTATAATTTACTAAAAAAAATACGTTTAGTTTATTATGATTACTCGAATTGTTTTGCATAATTGATTGCATATTTTGCAATTATTCCGGTAGATTTTATTATAATTGCGTTAACTTACAAAAAACTGATTATTTAATTGTTACGTTACTGTATTTGGATACATTCTATATACAGTATAGTATTTTTTGTGCAACATTAGCATCATGTACAACAATGTGTGAACGAAAATCTTTTCCAGATGAACAAAAAATTAATAACAAATAACCGTAAACAATTATAATGAAATAAAAGTCTATATGTAAATTCTAGTTCACTTGACAAATGACTCTTCAAACGGGGTTTAATTTCCCACTTACAGCTGATTTCAAAAAGGTCGGGACGCTTATTTAAAAAACTTGGAAATATTCGGTAATCGGTAAAGCTTGATATAAAATAAAAATTATACGCTAATTTTGGAGTACCATTCCGAGAATGGTGGTATAATTTTATCTTATTTTGAGCTTTACCGAATATTTCCGAATTCATTAAAATTTGCTAAGTGTCCCGACCTTTTTGAAATCAGTTATAACATAGTGAAAAAGAAAATTTAGCGACTGAGATAGAATCAAGAAGAAATAAATGTGGTCCATATGTCATAAATGAAGTATCATAAAAATATGATAGCGTCTTGTCAGTGATTTATAAATATAACAAAAATAATAAGAAATAATAATTTTTTGGTGCAATGTTCATTAGACAAAATATACATTCGGCGAAATGTCCATTCTTCGGCGAAATGGAATTAGATGAAATGAGTTTCGGCGAAACGTAATTTTGGTAAAATATCCATTCGGTGAAACGTCCCTTCGGCGAAATGGCTTTCGACGTAATGTCCTGATACCCAATAGAATGTCCTTCACTACGCTCCGAAAAATAACTAATGTAAGCTCGCCTAAATCATTGGGACGATCTACTATCATTTTAAAATGCTCTAAAGGAACTACACGCGCAGATAAAATAGTATGAAAGAAAGGTAAATGACCAGCAAGAAGAAAGTAATAGTTAATCTATATACAAATGCGCCCGTATATATTCTTTCACTTAAAAAGTGTCGTAAGTAAATACTGTCCTGTACGAAATGGTATTTATCTGTATAACTGTTCTATTATAGAAGAAATAATAAAATTTTAATGAGCTAAAAAATCTATTAGGTGACATAATAAGGGCAATATAACAAACGAAAAAAATAACGAAATTAGGTTAAAAATTTTTGTTATGTCGATCATCAATGACAATCAAGTTGATGATTGGTGTCTTAAGATGTGGAGGCTGATTATAGAAAAAGAAAAAAAGTTGAAACAGCGATCCTCATGCTGTTAAGCGCCATTTCCACATGGAAAGGTCACAACTAAGGAAGAGAGAAATTATTCCAAGGAAGTTAAAGCTGAAAAACAGTGACGAAAAGTGGTGGGAAATGTCTGTAGAAAAATTTTGTGTATTGTATATTAGAAGCGAAGACTAGCAAACAAGCAAAGCGAATTAGTGTAAATATTTTATTTGTTCCAAAAATTCGACATAAATACTTGACGATAATAAATAATGAAAATAGACGAAAACATTAAAACGAGACAGAAAGAATACTTACACTGTTTTACTTGTTTATAACGTTATTTGGGTAGGACTTTCTTATTTTCGACGTCAGAAAAACGAAACGGTATGGTAAAATTATTTTTCCCAAACATTACAAGAAAGAATTATAGCCGTTACTTAATATAATCTTTTTTTCCGTAAAGCACTATTTTTCACCGGGAACCCCGTGCATATCGTAGTGTTTACACAGTACAGAACTGGAGATCGTAAAATTCCAACTTTTCAATCCAAATAGAATTTCCATTGGAAATTAGGGCAGTGACATTTATTACGTAATATTTTAGGGGTGGGTCATATAAGTGTAACGTAAGATTTTACATATTCGTAATAAATGTCACTGCCTTAACCAATACCACATACATGTTCATTGAATCGAAGCACATCACTTGTAGATCATGATGTAACGGAAATTACACTCAAGATACCTGCCGATCACTCGATGACACGTTAATATTATGATGGAATCTTTTTGGAAACGAGATTGATGGGTCACGCTTCATTCACTAATCTTTGAATTTCATCCAGATCTACGTTCCACTGTTCGCATGGAAATCCTGGCAACCATAAAATCGACAGTCTATAATCCCGACACCAAGATCCCGACAAACCCTGAAATAAAATCCCGATAGTCAAAAATACAGAAACGCAGTAACGAGTTAATTTATTCACTATAATTAAATTATAATTTGTAAATTTTATTATTACCAATGTAAATTGTTTGCAAATTTTATTAATATTAATGCAAATTAACTAACGTTACTATATTATTAATGAAAATTAAAAGAAAAATTTTTTAATCTTAGTATGTACTTACTAAACTATCTAAACTATTTCTTATCTTCTAAAATTAGAAATAATTACATTAAAAAAATTAACTAATCTCAGTCAGGATTTTGGCTGTCAAGATTTTAGATCATCTGGATTCTGTGACTGTCAGGATTTTATTTCAAGTTTATTGAATGTTAAATGTATTGAAAATTTCAATTTACCTCCTATGGTTGAGTTTCTTAAATCATCACGGATTTCAAATTATTTTAGATTATCTTACAAAAAAGAAATGGTCAAGATAATTAAGAAAGCGTAAATTGCGACGCAGATATGGAAATGCTGAAGTTCAATTGATAGTAATGAAATTAGTCTCCTAGTGTCAGTCACATTTCCTAGCTATTTCTTATCACGTGACTTTATAGTAAAATATTATGTACTCTATTAGGACTTTTGCCGGCGGTGCTCTTAGCGCATCTCCGTTCTTTTTATTTTACCACCAAGGTGACATCGCCTTGTAGCGGTTTGGTTATCAGTTGTTACTTTTGATTTTAGTTATTAATTTCTTTATAATTCGTACTGTAACCTCGTTCATTTTGTGAAATAAAATTAAAAATTAAAAAGGCGTGGTTCTAATTTTAACGCCTGTACTTGCAGTAATGATCAAGAATTCATTTATAGCATGTTGGAGAACTTAATTGACCATTTATTTGGAATACTTGGAAATTAATCCATTGCACACAAAATTTAAAGATGGGACAATATTTATTCTCATTCTAACTTCCTAGAATCCCTGCATTTTTCTCTGGGCAAAATTGGATACTTGGATTTACCTTTAAAAAAAAATCTGTTTGAATGCAAACTGAAAATCTTTTACAGTGTGATTATTAAAGAAAGTAATAAAATATTTATGTTGTGGCTCAAGTGTCGATTTGTGATTTTGCGTCAGTTGATAGCTGACGTGCGTCAGACGTAGATTGATACCTGACGCGCGTCACCTGGATCACACAATAAAGTTTTCCATAATAAACACTTACCTTTATTAATAAAATTACTTTTTATTCTATAAGTAAATTTATATCAAAATAAATTATACATATTATGAAAATTTTATACTTATATGATTACATATCGTAGAATTTACTTGAAAAACTTGTTAATTTATAATTAATTTTGAATGAAGACTTTCCATGAATTTGAGTCTAATCAAACTGATATTTTAGGATTACGTATTTTGTAATATGATAAAAATATTTATTGTTCAGCCCAATAGGATCATGCAGATTTTCGTAACCGACATTTTTATTATCATAAGCATAACAATAATACATGATTATACATAATTGATATAATAAGGTGAAGTAAAAAATAATGCTGTAAATGAAAATTTTAATAGGGAAAGTTTAAATAAAGCTTATAAAGTGGATTAAAAATAGCATAAAATGAATTTATAGAAAGTTAACGTCAGAACTAGGGATTGGAATCGATTATCGAATCTTTGTAGATTCGATTGTTTGTTCCTTAAAGGATAATCTATTTTAAGCTTTAATGATTAATTCCATTATCAGTAAATATGTAGATTCTGAATTAAAATTGTAAAATCTATTATCACATTTAGGCACAATTGCAGCGTCGTGTATCAAAATTTTACTGAAACTAAATAAAAAAAATTCTCATGAATTCCCAGGGACTTTCATAAATAATACCCATCTTTTCGATAACAATATTTTTTTGTTGCTGCGGCTTGAATGCAATGGTTATATTTTTTACATACAATACCTATATGATACCGATCATTTGCCGATCATTTCGTCGTTTTTAAGTTTTTATCGATCAATTTTTCTTTTTTGAATCAATTTTTTTGTTTAGTTTCAATTTTCTCTTCAACAAATGAGATTCGATTTTGATTCGATTATCGATTCCCAATCCCTAGTCAGAACGATAACACTTTGATTGGATGTGGGGCTATATCGGTTACTTTATTGATTGGTGAAAATGACCACT